TTAGCTAAAGTATAAGTATTTTTGTGTCCCTCAGATCTTAGAATGAACCTTGAATAGCAAATAGGGAATCAAACAGGACGGTTTCTCTGGTCTGGCACTTTGGTGAGAATAAGATTTAGGAATAAGATCAAGCCTATCCTGGGAGACAATACTTTTTAAATCATTTTACTTTTCGTAAATTAGTGTCACAAGAGGTAAAACTTTGCAGTTTGGTAATATATTTGCTATATTGTTACAGAGTGAGCAAGTATATCTTAGTTGTCCTAAAGAGGCTCTCTATTGAAGTAATAACCATGAGAAGACTCAGATATAACATTATGCTCTCCACTTTTTATTCTTAAAACATGGAACAAATCTTAAAATGCTGCCTAGGAAATAGTTAGTAAGGAAATAAGATACAAACTGCCCAAATAAATATGAAGACTTCATTAGCATGATGATGACTGAGGTGTGACAATATTTATGTTATATAGAGGTACAACTTGGATTTATTACAAGCTTTGTTGTCAGAGTAATATGTAAAGACTTGAAATATGTGATACAGGAATTGATAAGGATAATATGATAGTGATGTGAATGTATATTTAACATATTACTCTATATCCAATTATTGTGATGTGCTTAAATTATATGTGTCCTATTGTGTGTTTGTTTTGTCTGGAAATCAATAAATAGATTATTTAAAAAAAAAAGAATTGAGAAAACACACTCTGAAGCAGGGACAAAGAAAGACTGTTCATTTCCATGGATAGCTCCAAACCAGCAAACCATGGTTTGCAGACAACTGTGGTGATTAAAAGAGTTTTCAAATTCTAAGTAATATTTATTTTCTTAAAAGCATAAGTCCTTTAATTTTGAGACTATGCCTATAGCTTTTGTGCATCCTGCAATATGCCCAGAGAAAACATGGTTTGAAATTAAATGTGTGAGAGAGAATGGAAGGAAACTAGACAAAAGGTCACCAAGGCTTTTACCCAGGTTCCAATTTTACGAAGTACATAATTGAAGGAGGACTTTATCTAACCACATTGTTTAATTTAAATACATTTTCCTTTCACCAGGACAGCCACTCCCTTAGACTCAATTAACATTTTAATAGTATACTGTGTAAATCTTTTTTTAAATCTCATTTTTCAAAAGGTGCAGGAAGAGGAAGAAGGAAAATGGAAACCAGCAAAATCAGCATACTAGAAGGATAGCGGAAAGCTTATGGATAAAACAAGGCATAGAGCAGTACTCTGGGGCTCTCAGAGAGCCACATTTGCTATTGCTGTCAACCAAAACAGCCACATGACTACAGTATGCCCTAAGCACAAGTGCACCAAATTCACACATACAATAATATATTTTAATATTAGACATATAACAATAACCCTTTCAATTACCAGAGTGCCTTACCCCACCTCTAATAAACAGAGAGAGCAAGATGGTCACAGAGAACAGAGAGTAAAAATCCCACCACCACCCTGTGGCCAGTTTATTCTGCTCCTGGCTGGCTGGCTGCCATAGTGGTGGTGGTAGTGATGGTTTTACTCTCTTCTCTGCAGCCAGCTTGCCCTCTGCCCATCAGCAACCCCAGAGACAGAGTTTCTAACATCTGTGGCATAAGGATCACTGCTCAGGGCTCATCTGGAGCTGGCTGTTTCAAGGTGTGAATTACCTACCAACCTTCCCAGCAAAGGCCTTGTTAAAATTATATCCCACCGTTCCCTAAACGGGCTCAGGGCAGGTAACAACAAGTGCATGAACAATTAGAACTAGATAATATAATTGATTCTTAAAATGGCTAAAATATCAAAC